TCTCCTCTCACTAGATTTGCCAACGTGTGGTACGTTCTTACAGTTGAAACACTCGTGTTCAGTTCATTACATTCGTTTTTCGAAGTTTTATTCGACATATCCTGCAGAAGCGATAATGAAAATAATTGATCTTGTCTGCTGTTCTGTTTCAAAGCTAGGCATCATGTGCACGATGATATTTGCCTAGTGCAGTCAAACGTTTCATTGACTGAACACAACAAATAAAATGAGTCAAACTGACTTCCGCTTATAAGTATTCATCAGTTTGTGATGAACAACTCTAAATTAAACATTTGAATTGTCTCAAAAAATTGTTAAAATGAATGCTCCCAAAAGGCTGTGACATTTGTAAATAAATCTTGGTCGAATTCTGCATTCTCGAAATCGACTTGGTTTTGTGCGGAATGAAATTTTAGAACTTAGCAGAGTGGTTAAGGTATGCTGAATGCAGTTGCATATTGTACCTCTATTGATATACCTTCATTACCTACTATCTCTATCTGTTTAATTGTCGTATCAAGTGAACTGCTATTGCAGTCGTACTGGTGAAACGGAACGTTTCTCGAGTTCGAGTGATACCGAAGAGACTTCGTCACGACGTGACAGTGGCTTAAATAAATCCGAATATCATCGCAAAACTTTAGCGAAACATCAAAATAATTATCGAACTTCATTTGATTTCGATTCAACGAACCAATTGACGTCTACTGAAAGTTCTGATCTTCTCAATAAGGTATATTTCGATCGTGCTTCTTTGTAAAATTTCAGGTTGAATCGCATATAGATTTGGTTTGTTTCATATTCGTTGACGTTGAAGATACAAGCAAAACGTTGTCGCAGTCATACATGTATATTTCAGAAACTTTTCAGTTAGGACGAATGAAATTCGATTGCTTAAGTGAACGAGAGATTCCTAGGAATAGGGAGGACAAATATGTTGAGTCACATATTTAGGAAGAAATGATGAGGATCAGCCGTTCTCAGTTGCACGTTCAACAAAACGTTCATGATCATCTTAACACACAACAGTGCATTTGAGTTTGTAGACATGTTGACAAGTTTTGAAGAGCAATGCATTAAAGAGTTTTTGAGTGATTTGTTGAGGAATACTTTTATCACGAGATGTGGCACGTTTTATTTATGTGAACTGAATGAATGCATTACGAAACATGTATGATACGATGCGATGTTTCTTGATGCGTTCTACAGTTATTCATTTCATCGAGAATGAACACAACACATCTTCTGTGATCATATCGAAATGAAAGTAGAAGCTCATAGCGTTTAGTGAATGTAAAACGATGTGTATTTTTGCTTACAATAGCACATCACAGCAAGAGATGAAATCGAATCAGAAACGGTGAATAATCAATGTGATTGAATTGCTCCGGCTGATTGAATACGGCAAATGAATTATTTAAAGTAATAATAATTGCCACTATACTTTCACAAGCAAATATATCTGGTGATTCGGAAAATTATTCAATGCGTACAATCAAGAACATCAAACGAAAAAATGATCCGAATCAATAATTTCGAATTTCAAACGATCAAATGAATTTCAAAGAAATAAGCTCGAATGAGAAATTCTCATGTGATACTTCTTAGCTACACTAACATCTGAATGAGTTTATTTTCAGAAGAATGATGTCAATAAAATTTTGATGTCAACATCAGAAAAGATCTGTCTTGATGCTGACTTGATTGATTTAACTGCCTCATCGCTTGGTGATGATCGTATTCACACTTTTGCCACTCGATCTGCCTCTGATATGTCGTCGTTAAGTTCGGAAGGTTTGAAATAGATTCACTGCATTCTATTCGTCTTCCTAAAAATGAATCATTTTCCGTGAAGACAATTTCAGTTTATTAGTTCCGTGCAAACGATTACAGGAACTAATAAACTTTCTAAAGTAATCACGAAATTGCTCGGTTTAATGTCATGCTTTTAGTTAAATTTCTTGTTCGTAAGAACCGAGAAGACGATCCATTCTAAACGCGTGGATCAGTGTGTTGCCAACGAATTAAGTTGTCATATAAAAACCACGAAATTTGCACTTTCCCTGTGCATTCGTGAGGATGCATGAATCTTCAACATTTAATAACGTTAAATGGCTCATTCATTGTCCTTTCATTCATTTATTTTAGTGTTGCATATTTGATTAGTATCTCCAATGTCTTTCCAATGCAGACCGTCCGAAACAAACACTCGTCCTTCTTCTCTCATTTATGAACACTTCGCTCTCAGTGCCGTCTGCTGGCCTCATTTGATCCATCTTTCATTAAATTAATACTTAATTATTAATACTTAATACTTAAATTAATACTTAATTGTTGAAATATTGAAATAATTTTCATTTATTCAGTTCATTAAAACTCACTTAAATAATCAGTTTTATTGTATTACAGTTCTTTCTGTCATTCTCTCTCCTCATTATTTGCGTTTAGATTCGTTTTCCTTTCAAAAGCTCATCAGATTTTCAATTGCCATTTTGCTATCACTCGTTCCTCTGTTTAAGTTAACCGAACAAAAGTCAAGCGTCAATCTTCAAACTGCCCAACTTCTTTGCCGGAACTTCATTGGCTTATGCTTGACGATGCGTATTCTTGGGGAATCGTCAACAGATTTCACTTCGTTATGATTTCTCGGTGACTTTAATGCCTACTAGGTCTGTTCAACTGAGCATGGCGTTACGTGTCAATATTTTTCATCTTTAGTGGATCGAATTCTTTCGTATAACCTATTATATTCTTTCGATTTCATTAATGTGCTCGTAAATAACGGCAGCTAGCAAAGAGATTGCATTCATTCATTCATTCGTCTACACTGTTTATGGTGGAAAATAATGGATGCGATTTTGTTTTATTGGATAAGTGAATTTGAGATGTAGACACGAAATTAATGGAACGTCTGTTGAGTTGCTGCACAAAATATGATGCGATTGAATGCGCTCAATGCACTTCTTTGATGGGAAACAATTCGGTTTTTCCTTGTTACATTTTTAATACGGCAAGATTATCTTCGATATCGTCGATCGCATTCATATTCGTTAACGAAGATCATTTCGATGATTTTGAAATTACAGATTCAATTTTATCTTAACCGCTGAATTAGCGATAAACATCTGTTGCTGATTTGTAATATTTGAGTTACGTTTTTGTGATTATGCTCGTTCAACAGTTAGTTCACTGACGCATTGTTTTTGCGAAATGAGTGAGTGCACTTATCGTTTGATTAGAAACAGGTATAATGTT